TCTGCACAATCATCTGTGATTAATTCACACAAATATATAAACAAACAACAATCACTCAGTAACACAAAATGGGTTACTTCAATTCAATCCAATTCAATTTTATTTGGATAGCGCCGAATCATAATATACATTATCTCAAGGCACTTAGCATAGAAGGTCAAGAGCTTGAAATTGTATTAAATCTAGAGAAACCAACAGTTGAACAATGAGCAGCACTTTGAGACTGTGGAGGAAAAACTCCCTCATTAACAGAGAAACCTCTAGAACCAGACTCAATGTGGGTTAGAGGGTTAGGGTTAGCCTAACCCTAACCCTCTAACCCCCTAACCACAATAACTGGGTTCAGGGAACATCCTGGGGGATGGACCATGCACTTCCCATCACCTCTATAATGAGACGGGCTCATTTCACCTACTGTAAGCCCCCTAACCTGATATCACATCACATGAGCTTTTCAAGTTATCTGACTTCAGTAAAGCAGGATTGTTTTTCCAAGAAAAGATGTTTACACAAGTCAGATGCCTCAGAAATGTCTCTAATTTCACGTTTCAGAGCATGAGACTGTTGGAAAGCAGATCACCAGCCTTGGCAGTCATGTCGTGGCATGTGAGGACAGCTCTTTTTGTCAAGGCTCGCTGTGTTAATTTCACTGTTCAACATCTTTGACCTCCAGTAACTTGAATAGGTCAGACATCTATTGTTGTCATGACATCACACATTATTTTATGACCCATGTGTGTTTGCCTCAAGGACACTGCTCACCCACCTACACCTTCCACCTGCACTCATTGGACAGGTAATCAGGCTGTTGTATCCCAACCCCAGTGCACATGGTGCTTTATGGTAGAGCCTCTGAATAGGACCTTAATTTACAATTAAATTACTTACTTGTTATTAAAACTTTTTTGGATTGCAGCTCATTGTCAGTAGTGGGTACTACAGCCCCCTCAACCCCCTATAATATTGCAATTGCATTTTTGTGGTGTTGGAATAATTGGAAAAACTAGTTAACCTCAAGTCAGAAGGGCAAATCGATGAGATGGGGGCATTTTTCTGATCTGCAAGTTTCAGACATCATTAATTATAAATCAATCAACAATCAGCTGTAAAAGAAGTGAACTCATCACATTTTAGTTTTCTTACTTGAAACAGTTTTTCATCTATTATGAGCTCCTAACATCCCTCTGTATTTAACTAGGATGGTTCCATGATTGCACTACTGTTGTGAGAATATTAGGAGTTGGTACATGTAGAAAAATAGTATTGATTAACCTAAACATCTCCATTCCTGTCCATCCAGAATGAAATACAACCCTGGAGTTTTCAAACTAAAAAGGGGACTTTACTGTGTTACTTTAGGGTGTGAGAATACACTGTTTTGTGTGTTTGAAGTGTTGCAAAAAGTATTCAGTTTTTTGGACCAACTTTACCAGAAACTGCCTTTCAGATAAACTCCAGACCTTTAGACACAATCACTCAACAGCAGTAAACAAACCCCTGTCTAATTGCATTAGTGAAAGGAATCAGAGGAGACACAGATTGGCCATACCGGAACAAAGGGACATTTTTTTACAACCGAAACGAGACAACACAAACGCTGTGTCCTTCTGTCTTCAATCAAGATGTTGATTCCCAATCACTGCAGCTTTCCAAATATTCCTCTTCATATAGGCAGCAGCAGAAAATTACATTTCATGTTTATTTATTGTGTTGTGTTGCTCATGTTTTGACATCAGGTCTCTGTCATTCTTCTTCAAAAAGTTCAAAGTTTGCTTTATTGTCAACTCTGCAAATGTACAGGACATATGTAGTATGTCTCATACTCTCAAACCTGTGGTGCAAGAAGTCATTCCTGCACCAACAGCCTTTTCAGCCATTTCAATGTGCACCAAATCACATACACAGACCCGTCTGTACATGTTTCTTATAGTTTTCATCTACATCAATAAAATCTAATCTGAAAAATCAGTAAAAAATGTTTTATCTCACAATGTTTCTGGATCCACCCCCTGATCCAGATCCACACCAAACTTAAGTCACTTGACCCATGTCATATCCTTTCACCAAGTTTACTTGGAATCTGTTCTGTAGTTTTTGTGTATGGCTAACAACAAACAAACAAAGAATGCTGACAGTGGTGAAACCTCCTTTGTGGAGACAACTAAAATATTCTTCTAACTTTCCAATACAAACCAAAAACAAGGCGGAGGCTGAATATGCTTTGATTTATAAATACTACCAATTATTTCTCTGCCCAATTTCTCTTTTCTTGAGTTTGTGGTGTGTTGTGACTGTCCCACGTTGATGCCTATGAAGCAACGTGAACTTTTAACTCATTAAAGAAGAAAATCTCATCTCAAACCTTTCTGGATATTTTATATTTTTAAAAAATGTTTATCCTTTTTCTAAAATTAAGAAAATTCCTGATTTTCTTTTAAGAAAAAAACACACCAGAGTTGATATCAGAGCCCCGGCAGCTTTCAAATGAAACCATGAAAAAAAATTGCCGAATCAATTCCATTGAAAATTCCATAGGTGACAGGATACACAAGGGTGGACATATTTCAGCCTGACGTCACGGTCGATTCGTGACAGGAAGATGCAATTCACTCTGAGAAGCCTGAACTGATACAGCGAAACATTGTCCATGGAGACGACCTGAGGTTCCGTCACAGGAACACATGATGATAAATGTGTAGATAATCCTGATCCAGTTCGATAAAAATGCAAATCTCAGGATAATTAAAAATGCATCAAAAACAGCGGAGTTGAGGAATCTGTGTGAGTTAAAAGTTGTATTAATGTAATAAAGGAATATTGGATTGAAATGAATTAATCTTTGAGGATATGAGTTTTATCCACGAGTGAGGTTATTGAAGCAGAAATCTGTTGTATCCTTTACCACTCTCGTTGTGTCTGCACATGACCAAGCTCTGAACTAATTAACTCGCACATGGTGTAAATTAAATTTCACATTTCATTAACACTCCAGAGACATTGACACTGTTTATAATGCAACACTTTTGCTGAATATACTCTGTCCACACTGCTCTGGAGGTTTTGAGTCCCTCAAACAAAGACTTACACTGACACTTAAGACTGGATGAGAATAAAATGAAACTATTGGAAACAATGATTGTGTTTCATCGGTCTTGACATTTACTTCTCTAATTTGTAAGATTCCTGTCATGTGATCAGCTTCAACCCACAGGGAGTCAACTCACAGAATTCTTCCTGATAGTGACAGTGGTATCCACAGACTGTTATTAAAGATCAACAACGTGACAATGCCAAAAGTGAAGCTAGTCCATCTGGACCACCCCCTGGTGGTTGGCTGCAGTATAGGACATAAACATGTTCTCCTCCATGTTAGTAGATGGGACATGGACCAAAATAAAAAATCTAAATAAACATTTTTCTGATCTTTTTTGTGACTGGGATAGGCAGCGGCAGCTTGGTCTCCCTGCTCTCAGAAGAGCAAGGCAAGACTCGTCCTGACCAGTCAGAGCTGATCTAAAGACGTCTGATCAGATTTGTAACTGGATGGATAATTGCTAAATTAAGGTTACAGTCCATCCTGTGAACTCTCATTAGTCTGCTCCAAAGCAACTGACACCGGTCAGAGACGTCGTCAGTGTGTCTTTCTCCACAGACACTGACTGCAAATGATGTCAACACCACAAGATGGTAGCATCTGTGTCCAATATATTTTTCTTACAGTTTATCTTCTGGAACAAAGTGTAAGTATTTATGATCTCAACATCATGTCTGCTATTATTTAATAGCGGCTGCACCAAGAACACTGTCAGTCATAATACTCCATCTTCAATGTGTTGTGACACAAGCATGACCGAGCTGATACACAGAGAAATTATCTGTTCTCTCTCTCACACACACACACACACACACACACACACACACACACACACACACGCACACACACACACACACACAGCCATGTACCACCCTTCCTCTCTGTTGTACCTCTTGCTGTAAGCAGCTGATTCTGTGCAGTTGGAGACAGAACTTGAGAGAGACACAGCAGAGCAGTGAAAGACGGGTGGAGAGACAGAGAAGCTCAGATAGTCGATGAATGCTCCTCTAACACACAGTGACTCCTCAGACGCAGACCTCAGTTCTTCCATCTTGTCACCATGAGGTTTGACCAGATCCTGGATGAAGTTGGTGGCTTCTCCAAGTTCCAGTTCCTGGTGCTGTTTCTCCTCTGCCTCCCCCGAGCCATCCTCCCCCTCCACTTTCTCCTGCACAACTTTATCTCTGCCACCCCTCCACACCGCTGTGCCCTTGGGACCCTGGAGAACACAAACCCGGCCCCCGAGGTGCTAGCCCTCAGGATCCCCCATAAGGATGAAAGCTCTCTCAGCTCCTGTAGAGTCTATGACCCCCCGCTGACCTTCGACCTCAGCCAGGTAAACCGGACAGCACCTTGTCCACATGGATGGATCTACAACAGGTCGCAGATTAGCTCCACAACCGTTACAGAGGTGAGAAAATTCTATTTGAATTCTTTGTTGAACAGAGTATTTAAATCTGAAATCATATTGAAGAGATGTATTCTCATCTCCTCTTGGATTTGAATTTGAATTTTAGGGTTAGGGTTTTATATCATGTTTATTAATCACTGAAAGTAAAATTGAATAATAATATTGATTGTAGCTTAAACTGCAACTACATGTTAATGTGAGTGAAAAATTGCGTGTTTGATTGAGTTAACTTTCTCTGCATGAAACCAGACCAGGAAGTTTCCCTGACATTAAACAGGTTTGATAACAGTGTAGTGACCATCGCAAAATCAAGACTCAATTTTGGAAGCAAAAGCCTTGTTATCTGCTCCAACTAATGTTCACTAGATGGTGCTCCAAGAAAACACCTCTCTTCAAACACAAAGTCGATACAGTTTTTACACAAAACTGTCGGCTGAGTTAAGGACAAGCCAATAAATGTCACGTTATAACAAACTTCAATTGTCAGAGAGTATTGTGCGACATAAAAGCATGGCAGCCATCACGGTCACTCATTTTAACCCATCTCTCCACAGTGGGATCTGGTGTGTGACGACAAACAGCTGAATCAAGTTCTCGCCACATACTTCTTCCTCGGGGTCACATTTGGAGCCATTCTCTTTGGACAGCTCTCCGACAAGTGAGTTCACAATGTTTTGAACCCTCGCACTCCTCTGGTCATGTGACCCATGAAGATGGAGGGACGTTTATGGTGCTTCCACTGTAGCACGTCTTAATAAAAAAAAAATGGAACCGACCCTCTCTGAAAGGAGAGTTGCTGCAGTGTGAAGAAAGTGATGTGTTTTCTGATCATCAGAGAATGTAAACCTTTTACAGTCAAAACACTTGACCTGACGATATACAGAGTATGAGTGGTAGACATCTGTGACATTGGAAACATTAACACTAGATTACAGGCTGCATCCTCTGATCTCACTCCCTTATGTGATTGGACACAGCGTGGGTTAGGCGTGAATTGTAATCGCACAGCCTAAGTACATAGATTTTCACAAAATCTTGAAAATCAAAACTTCCAGACTTTACATTACTTTTTACTAGTTGCATTGAAAGGGAAATTTCTTCTCACATTCTTTCTTCGCAGCAAGGCAGCAAACACACTGCTCTCTACTAATTCA